AAGTTTAAAGGAATGCCCGCCCGACGGTGGCTTGCCTCCTAGATGTAGTAGATGTAGATTCTGCCGTAGACACTCTTGTCCACGAGCACGTTGAGATGGGAAGGTTGCTTGTTATTGCAGAAGCGGGTCTGCTACAGGTCTGAGGTGAGGCGGATTGCCCTCAACCTGGGGGCACGCAGATAGCTAAGTCCCGATGGGGTACGTCCTAAGAGGGTATACCTCCTGACGTCCCCCATCTTAATCTAGACCGACTGTGTACCCTATCTGTGCCATACAGCAACACTCCTTAACATGTAGCTTCTACATGTAGTCTAAATCACGAACAATTTTCCACCGGGACAAAGAAAAAATAACAAAGAATCTGTTTAGGGTGCCCCAGAAAGGCTACCCCGCACACCTCTCCCCGCCATGTTTCACATCAGTCTGACCCCGCCCCGAGGGTGCTCTGATCATGCTCTCTCGACATCGAGGTGTGATACGCCGAACAGCGTCCAGGTGCAACGAAGAGTGCGTACAAGCGCACGCGAACGTCGATGAGAATCATCACCCTCACAGGATATATGGTGCCGCTCATATATTGGAAATATTTTGGTATGGTTTTGTGTAAGAAGGGCATTTGGGGGGGGGGCGTGGTCACTTCGTACGCTCCCACCAAAAAACAAATCCTACTGAAATAAAAAGTGAGTACACTGTCCAATATATAATGTTGCCCACCCGTCACTGAATGAAAGAGTTCATTCGTGACGGCGGCGAGATGTGAACTACATTAGTTTCTTTCGTATTCCTTCAAAGTCAGAAGTCTGCATGATGGAACGGAACAAAGATGATGTGCGTGTAAATGAGAGTCGATTTTCACTCTTTCGAAAGAATCTCTCGGAAGCAAATATTAAGGATGGTATATGCTGTTGTTGCATGAGCCTAGTCTTCTTGCAACCATCAATGAGAGAAAGATTTCAGCTGACCCATGATGATGTAATATTCAAACTTCTTGCATGCGTTTAGTGTGAGACACGCATACACCACGACCCTTGAGTGCTCCTGGAGTTGACCCAGCCCAATGTGAAACATCGTTGGGAATCGCTTCGGAGAACACGGTAGATTTCAAACCACAGCCCGACAGCATCCATCACCGTGACATCGTCGTGGTAGCAGGAGGAATGTGTGTGTGCTGTCTCTTTGTCCACGCGCCCAACCGTTGATTACTAATTCCTACGCGGGAAGAGCGCCTCATTTTGCAGGGTGGGGGGCTCTGTTTTGCCATCGTCAGTTTCAAAAGCATCGTCCGCCTGTGTGTCTTGAATGAATATGAAACGGGTTGAGTAGCAGTCTCCAAAACGAAGCAAGGGAGGCGACCACGTCAACCGATGGCGTCCTGCATTGGCGCGAACGAGGCGTAGCTTCGTGGGGATGGTGGTGCACGGGGTTTAGGACTGGCTTGGTGTGATGGTCCGATGGTGGGCACCACGAACAGGGAAGGTCGTCCGCGTCGCAGATTGGCATTCGATCCCCGGACGACAGGTTCCCGACACGTGGGAATAGGGGGGTGCGTACCGACTTCTTCCTGGAGCAAGACCTCCCCCCGCCTGCGAGTGCCTTCGTCGCTCAGCTAAGGGATATGTTTATGCGTACGTGTAGATATATGTCACGAGGCACCGTTTCGCTCTTCTTACAGGCTAGTCGGAGCATCAACGACATGTATGTCTGTGTCTCCAGCACCCAAAACGTCATAAGACGGACTGGGCTATTGACTGGCACGTTGTGCATTAAAGCCATTGAAGCGTGGGCTGATGCACAAGCATCCGTGTCGTCCTTGACATTGGGGAGGGGGGGCTCAAGTCGCTTAGAGTTGCCGTAGATTGTGGTAGGAGGCTATCCCGTCAAGCCTCATGAAACTTCGAAACCGAACGATCAGCCAACACCCGCGGGGAGAAATCAACCTATGAGTCGTCGCGATGGCGACATGTTCGCATATATTTTCCTAAAGGCTCCTGCCACAGCTGCGCGGGGATGCTTTTGTTTCAAAACACTAACCCCGTATAGGGCTAAGGAACTGAGTAAACTTGGTTCTGAAGCCAAACGTCTGAGAGAATCCGCTCGTTCGATTGCCCCTAGCACACATCGACACCTTTCCCTCTTACAGAAAGGTATCCACGTGGAACCGCCCCCATACATTCGTCAATATTCAGCATAACCGTCGTAGACAAAACGCGTTAACAGACCGCACGCCAGGAAGAAACCTACTGTAGTGTTGACAGCAAACTGTCAGATGCTGGGCTACCCCATGTAGTCAAACGTCTCAGAATGGGACGAGAACAACGCAAGGCCAGGGAACACGATCACACTGAACACGCACAAGTCCAAATAAGTGAAAAAATCAACGGTTCCTTGGCCGCATGCAAGACCGCTCAATAAAATGCTCAGTGCAAAGCGTACACGATGAGGTGCGTTGGCAGGGCAGCTTCCTCCTCGTACACAACGAGCTCGTCATAGTTCAGCCCGTGGCCTACCTGTCAGGGACAAGGATGAGCGAGGAGAGCGAAAAGACTAATTTCACATGACGGTAGCGCTATGCCCTTTTTACAGCTGTTATCGCTGTCAATGGCCCGGTCCTCGGCGGTTCGTTTATCTTGCGGACTTCACGCCAAAACGTGTCGTTTTTGTGGAAAGTGGACGAAGTCAACTGCAATAACATCGAACCCGATGGTCTCACGCGCGGTTTGTCTCTATGCATGCCCTCACCTCCCCGACGCCGGATTCGTAGCCTGGAGGCGGGCATTTGTCGTCGTCCAGAGCGTTCTCCTTGGTGGGGTATGCCTTCCCCGCCGCGACGTTGGCGACGAACATGCACCTCAGCTTCGTAGGCGAACTGTTAGTACATCGCCCGTGCCAGTGTACACGGCAGCAACAAGTCAAGACCAGCACACTGGTGCACCAGGCAGTTCGCGAGCATCAGGCCCAAAACGATAGTATCATTGGTGTGTACGAGCATCGTGTACAGGGAGCTTCCAACTTCCAAGGGAAACGCCTGCGCGTCGGACGTACGGAACGGTCGATGAGTCGATCCTCAAACAGAAATCTACCTTTGCAGTTTGATCGGCGTAGTCATTGGCCTTCCCGGACGCGCTGCTGAATTACACGCCGTTGCCACAGCGCAGCTTGAAATTACGCGCCAGCGCCGTGCGGCCGACGTTTTCGTCGAGCTTGGAGCCCCGCATGCCGATATTGCACAAGCTGCAACTGCGCAGTCCGCAGGGGGATCTCTGCGCTGCCGGAGTTACGGCAAAAAACAAGCTACATCAGAAATGAAATCAAACGGCAGAGAGGACAATACCCCCAACCTAAGGCGCAAGAAAGACGGCAGAGGGCGGTCAAACCCACTCGGAAAGTCTACCAATGTATCGCAAGGAATCAGCGTATGGGCGCCGTCAAACCTGCAAAGAAATTCGGTGATCGCCCGAAGGCGAGATAAGGCGACGATGGACGAAGCCCATGACGGGTACATGTAGGGCAGAGTCGGCAACATTGATGGCAGATTCGTTTCGAGCAAGGCAAAACGCATCGTAGGAGGGTGTGACCTGGACATACTAGCTGCATCGATTGAGGTAGCACACGACGTAGAGCGTGCTGCTCGAACTGCGTAAAGCACCAGTGGCGGGGGGGGGGGACCGCCAAGAATGAAAATAGTACGCCGTGCACAACCCTAAAACTAATTCTCCGGTAAGAGCTGTTCTGAGGGAAAATGCCAAAGCGGTATGGGACCAAGCGTGCCGAAAACACAGCCAACCTATCCCAAATACTGTACCTGCGGTCAACGATGAAATTACGCCCATCACTACAGGAGGTGCCATGGAAACGCCGCCGGATGTTTCGCACCGTGCGCGCGTACTTGTCGTGCTTGTCGCGAACCTCCGCTGGCACCTTCCAGGCGACGACGGAGTACAAAGGACGTAAATCCGTATCGGATCCAATGTGCCATATTTTTCGTGAAGAGGAGGGTGGCATGGATTACCTTACGCGCTGATACACCGCATTCTTCGTCCGCACCGAAAGCGCTGTTGATCACGCGCAAAACTTCCTGGTTTTCGAACACCGGGAACACGACTGTACATAGCTCGTCCGCTGTGTACGCCAAACGGGTGCGTCTTACCTCCACCCCGAAGATCCGCACGACCGAGATGCCTTCCGCTGGCTACGGTTTGACCCACTTGGTGCTGAACTGGTTGCGCACCGACGGGCACTCGGGGTGGGCCTCATCCAGGGCGCATAAGTTGAACCTGGGGCTTCCCACGGAATACACGCCATGTACGTACGGCTCTGAGCTCCGGAGCTGGCCCTGTAAAGTGGTGACACGTCGCCGACCATGCAGATCGCGAGGGAGGATGAGGGCAATGAGACATGTGAGGTGGCAGAAGGCATCATTGGACAACGGCCAAGTGCCAGTAGCCTGCGTTCTATCGCCGACAATTTCGTGCGCATCATCGCATGGAAACCGGAGGAAGTTAAGGTAGTGGGCTATCGACAAACCTCTTCAACGCCATGACCCCTGTTGGTCCTGATTGTTTCGAAACAACCGGTCGGGAGGCTTAGTGCACTCACTGTGGAATGCTCGTACTGTAGCCGCACAATGTGCGCAAAACGCCCTTGCCTTCGAAGGTGGTATTGAGAGGAGGCGGTGACGTTCTGAGTAGTATCTCAGGTCCTCCCCAGTCTGCAGGTGGTGTAAGGTGCCCACAGAGCAGTACCGGAGCTTGCAAACCGAGCCAGCATTCTTGTTGAGCTCTACACGTTCCTTGGAGAAGCAGTAGGCGCTGCAGTACTGTCTGGAGTCTGTGTTCACGAGCCAGGCGGTGCTATCGAGTAATGACGGACGATTTGAAGGAGCTATCGAGTAATGAGACGATCTTGATGGAGTATGTGAGAGATTGACAAGCACCTTCCATCAATATCGTGCAAGCAACGTTCCACATTCTTGAACACAAAAGGTATTTAGGGCAATCCCTACAGTGCATATTGTTAATGACTCGAATTACTGATGCGACCACATTCTGATTAGTATCTCGGGACCCTCTTCCTCATGTTTCCCTGCCCTTTTGTGGCTTCGGGAACTTGTTGTTCTAGAGACTTTTTTGGTATGCCACATGCCAGACGCTCTCTGAGTCTTTGAAACTGCTTTGGGTTCGCCTTTGTGCCGAAGTTAGATAATACAACACGAACGTAGCAGGGAAAGACATCAAGAATATGCGACTCGAGCACGGGCAACGGAATGGAGCGCGACGACCCACGGATCCGTACACGACACCTCGATGGGCTTCTCTCGACGCCAAGTTGACCAACGTGGCCACCAATCAGCGAAGCGTCAAAGCGTGCAATCATGCGCAAGGCATATATGGTATGGGTGTCTTCGGGTACTGGTCGGTACATCGGGGCAGATGGTCAGGCCATCGTAAACACATTTTCCCAGTACCTGTCGTTTACCCTTTGCCCAATACTCGTAGTATACCTTCGAACAGGAGGGACACATGTAATAGAGCAACAAATCGAAGGACGGGTTAGTCATCCTTACCTCGTACATCCACGGCGCGCACAGAGTCACGCTTGACCTGTCAAGGAGTGGGCCTTGCCGCAGTACTCGGAGTCCTGAAGAGCACCATAAGTAGGATTTTATTAGACTGTTGTCATCTTCGCTCCTGTCCTTCCTAATCAACGGAGGCTTCCGCGTTTCAACAGCACGAGGATTTCAGTTCCGGCCAAGTGAAGATCAAGTATTCAGCGTGTCGATTTCACACACGGGGGGGCATAAAAAATGGCTGTAATGTCCTAGCCTGACGAGATCGTTCACGGGAATCGCACCAGCGATAAACGTGCGGGGAATGCCATGAAGAAAACGACCCTTCAAGGAGAATAAACAAGATGTATTTAACATTCATAACTTTCCCTCCACAAACGCTTGCCTCGCACTGGACGTTTACTGGTGGGGAATACACGGTACAATGTGTCTGACGAGAGAGTAACGGGTTACGTAGGCGGCGACTCAAAGCCTGCTTTGTGGAGGCACGGGCATCCTATGTTGACAGGGGAGTCTTCGAGACCCCAAAATTGTCCCCGCCCTTGCCAAACGAGCGGTGGGGTTGGTCATCGTGTTCTTCCCGGGCAACGCCACCGCCACAAAACCACAACCAAATCAAAAGCAAGTTCGTGATGGAAGTTTGGGCGGAACATATGTCTTGCTTGACACTCGAAAATTCCATCTTCGAATTGCGTCCCTCGGCGTTGGTATGTACAAGATAGCATGGGTGAGGTTCTGTACCGTCTTGGTACTGTCCCGGTAGACCAGCTCCTTGCAGCCAGGTAGCTTGCACAAGGACGTCCCTTTGTGAGGGGAGAGGACCCACTCTCCCCTGTCCATCGCCTTGTTTGCATGCCAACTGCAGCAGAAGTCGTACACCCGTCCGGTATCAGAATCGAAACAAACACGCTCCAAGCAGCCCCGCAGCTGGCAAACCTGTTCATCGCACAGGTGCGGAAGAGAGTCTATGCCGGAATGTGCATGAGTGTTGTAAACCTGTACAGTAGTTTGGCAAGGCGCCCACGATCATGTTTCGGTGATCGTTACAAAATTGATGTGTATTTACAGCAGTGGTCTGGATATTTGTTGTGCGCCCCCAAAAACATCGGTATCAGGTTGATGGCCTTCTGAACCATTTCTAGCAGTGGTTAACCGCGTATGGTTACCCTCGTAAACCTAGCTTTGTGTAGCAGGTTCGGATTCGATGCTCTCTCTAGAGCTTCGTGGAGAATACTTGCAAGTCGCGGTGGGACAAACAACTACATACTATAAAGACGATTATGAGACGTTTCTCATACATACTGTAGCCTAGTCTTAAGAGTCGAGTCTTGCCTAGACAATGTGTGGCGTGGTGTTTTTTTTTGTGTTGGGGGGGGGGAAGGTTGGAAAGACAAATCGTGAGAATACGCACACGTCGACTTCACGGTCGATGACGGAAAAGGATGGCAACTGCTTGTATGCATACACCCCTTCTCCTCGCAATAAAACTACTGTCAGGCACGCTTTGCAGGAGGAAACGCATATCGAGAAAAGAAAAGAAAACTCTTATGTCGAAAAAACATGCGCATACCATCCTTCTGTATGCATGACTATGCAGACCAGACTATGCAGACCAGAGAAGATGGCCCCATTAAGCTCCACTTAAGCCACCCTGTGCGGAAAAAGCTGGTACATTGTCAACATGTTGAACCAGAGTGCAATCGAGGTATTGAACGAAAGCCAAGATCAATACCTGAGTGTAGAATAAAAAAATGAAAACAAAGAAGTTTGTGTGCTATTAGAGTCAGAACAATACATCGTTCCTCGAAGCTGAAAAAACGGAAAATACCACCCCCCGCCAAATAATCACCCCCGGTGTTTGCCATCGGGGTTGGGTTTTCGTCGCTTGGCAACGACGTTGTAAAACAAGCCGCCCCCCCCCGGTGTTTGCCATCGGGGTTGGGTTTTCGTCGCTTGGCAACGACGTTGTAAAACAAGCCGATTCACTTCGTGAACTCGGCAACCAGGTTACCGTTTTTTTTTTTTTCCTCCGTTTATTTTTTTTGGGCGGTAACCATAATGATGGTTGAGTAGATCATGTTGTGCGGGGTGAACCCTCACTCCGCGCAAGGGGGATGATCGCACCACGTTGTGTTAAAATGGTCAAGCACCCTCGAGGCAGTTACACAGTGCTTACAACTGTCTCTGGAAGTGAAAGCACCAGAAAATAAATTAATTCATACGCAGCTGTCATCCGTACGCAAGGAAGTAAGCACAAGATGCCGAACACCCTAGGCAGGATGCAGCGCACCCTTCGTGCGACTCGCCGAATATGTCACGGCGCTTCGCGCTTGGTGATGTGAGAGCCTGGTCCGGTGAGAACCCGGCGTGCTCCGTCCCGGCTTTGTAGGGATGCGAGGTCAATGGCCTAACGACTATTGTCGGAAGGCAAAAATAAATAAATAAAATAAATAGTCTAGGAATGCACGACTATGAGTACCCCCCCCCCCCCGCCAAATAATTCACCAATTTCCTTATAACTCATGTTGTTGAACGATTACGGGTTTTTCTTTGACAGCGATGATGGTTTGAGGTTGAAGAAGATCTTGGTGTCATTTTTTTTTTCTGAACCCATACACGGGGACAAAAACGACCCGGTCCCGTGTTTTTCGGCATTTTTCGGCTGAAATATATGCCTCAACATAAAGTGCACCATAAGAACCACAGGCAACAGTTTTTGTTTTTCTTTTTTTGTTCGGATTGTGTTCAACACCGTTGGAGTAGGCGGTATGCAAAACTTTGGGGGTAGTGGTGACCATTGAGTAACTACTTTCGTGTACGATCGATTTTTCGCCTGATATTCGGTGCAAAATCGGGAAAGAAAGGCAAGAAAAATGAAGCGCACGGCAGAAAAAAAACAACGCCGCGAAGAATTGATCCCACGACCTGAGCCATATCGACAGAAATCACCCACCGCATATCCCCTAGAAGTTAAAGATGTACCGACACGTTTTCACGCCTTCCTGAATGTGGATCCTTACCAAAAAGTTGATGAAAGTTATTGATGTGGGAAATATCAAATGAAATGCTGGAAGTACATGACATGAGCACCTCGCCGATCCGAACACACTTAGGCTTAAACGAAGCCCAAGAGTTTGGTCAACGCGATGAATCATGTTTTTTATGGCAATATTTACTTTGCCCTCCCCATATCGCTAGTGGGGCTTAACCGGCTCTGGAGCTTAGTAGGTACATCTCCTCCGTATATCATAATAAAAAAATGGATGCCAACAAAAAAGTGTGAAGTGTTGCTTGGAAGAAAAAAAAACTCGTGCACGACCCGGCTGATACGTACTACTTCTTTGGGTCTTGCTCTTGTTTTTCCGCAAAAAAAAAATAGGGAGGAGAGAATGCGGGAGAGAGAGACAGAAGTGTAGCAGAAAGAGATGTACGTGTGAACTTCTGATTCTGTAGACGGAACAGCTATCTCCACCCATAGACATGAGGGCTGCCCGCGACAGGACGGTGGGCACATACAGGGTCATAAAAGGGTTCATGTGTGGTAGCGGTGCGGCCGGTAGGGCAGTGTAGGCTTGTAGACCTCGAAAAGATCAGTCGTCAAGCAGCCTAAACTACTCTATTTTCAGAATGTTCAAATGATCGGTGAAAATGATCAGTGAGAGGGCTTGTAGACCCAAAGAAAGCTGGTTCTTGGACTTCTGTACTCCTCTGTCCCCTCCCCAATGTGAGCCCTGCCGGCTCACCACAGCTTCTGAAATTTTCCTACATTTCCCACCAGCACGCAGGCACACCACAGCACACACCGACCTTTGCATCAGTGGCTCTCTGGGTTCGGGCGAGGGTATGTGCAGGGCTATGACGATAGTGCATGTGTTACTACTGTATGTTGGACTCGTCAATACTGCTGCTGCTGTATAGCTAGTGTAGCTGCTGACACGACGACTGCTGGATCTTGGGAGTAATATTTTCAAATTTAAAGGTTCGTCTAGCTATCAGCATACCATGATCATATCCTGGCCTGGTTGGGCTTGAAGTGCGCCTTTTCGCTGTCATCCTGTCTTTCCTTGAGTGGCTTCCTAGATTCGCGCGAGGGCATGTATGTGGAGTTATTGATGTTTGTTGTTTGTTTGTGTTTCTCCCATCATTGGACTCTGTCGTCTGCCCCTCTGGCCCCTATCCTTCCTCCACTTCTACCAGCTAGCTAGACGACCCAACCGGGGTCACACATGAGGGGGGGGTTGGACCCCCTCCTGCGGTTCTTGCATGAGACATTATTATCGCGAGAAGGGTACAGCAATCTCTTCCCTCGCGATCTATGAAGTCGATGTGTGCCTTTGTGAAAGGATATGGCGAGAGATTTGTTCGTGGGTCTGCGAACATTGGACCAGGTGTTGAACACATGTATGTGCTGGATGATTTGGTGTCACACAGACTGGTAAGATCGCCGTTTGGTAGGGGACACCGCGATGATTCACGGGGCCCCTCCTTGCTGTGTGGGAGCCGCTCTTTGAGCCCCCCCTCTTTTGTCCGTGTGAAGGCGGTCGTCTACCTCTCGTGAAGTTGATACATCACCAAAACAGTCTCACCCGATAAATAAGTGGCGTAGGCCGCAAACACTCCAGAGTTTTTGCCCCTCGAGGGAAGCCACATTGGGATGAGCCCTGCTGGAGACGAAGAGCGCACTGCTGCGAGCGGAGAACAGATCCGCCCGCCGGTGCAGGAGGGCCGCGCTGCGAAGCTTACAAGTTTGCAACTGCAGATTTCGCAATTGGCGGCCCTGGTGGAGGAGTCGGTGAAGAAGAAGGAGCCTGNAGAAGAGCCCACGCTGCCGCTCGGCGGTGGCGGGGGATTTCTCCAGCAGCAAGCGAGAGATGGTGGGCAAGGACCACGGCAGCTGCTGGAAGGTGGCTGGGCCAGGAGATCGGGAGCGAACCCTGTTGGACCGGCCGGAGTGGGCCCGGGCATAGGACTGGACTACGGGGAAGCAAGGGGATTACACCCCCCAGGTGAGATACCCATGATTCGAGGAAATGGAGAATTCCTCGACGGCTACAGCACTAGCCACGTGAAGAGAGTAACAGTCAATGTCCCGCGTCTCGAAGGGGAGAGTCACGTGGCGGAAGGGCTAGAGGCAAGGGCAGTGCGAGAGTTGCTGTTCGAGCGCGCGGAGGAGGCCCACGCTGCGCGCCTCTTGGAGGACTTCCTGCTGGGTGCGGTGGACCTCATGCTGAACTCGCCAGACGCCTTCGAGGCGGCTCTGGCGTCCCACGAGCTAAGTGAATCCCCCATTGGCAAGCGTCCGAGTGATGTAGAACCCCCCCCATGACCGTAGCCGGCGCCATGAGGGAAGAGTTTGAAGGGCAATTGGGCACGGGGACGTTTTCATTCGTAGCCGGCGCGCCAGAGGGGCGCAGGCCTGTGAGCTCAAAGTGGTGTTTTATTTGGAAGACCAACAAGGAAGAGAAGATAGAAAAGTTCAAAGCGCGTCTGGTGGCTACGGGGTTTTCGCAAATCCCGAACGTCGATTATTTCCATTAGTCTTCCACTTGCCCATCATCCGCATCCATTAAACTGATGCTTGCAGTAGCAAACGAGAAGAGCATGAACCTCAATCACTGGGATGTGAAGCAGGCGTATACACACGCTACGCTAGACGAGGAGGTTTTTCTGAAGCTCCCCGCTGGGTGCGGGGACAAGTCGCATAAGATTGCTAAGGCTGAGCGTGCGATTTATGGTCTGAAGCAGAGCGGTAGGCAGTGGGGGTACCACGCTGCTGATACGCTAGTCGAGAACGGGTTCGAGCAGTGCAAGGCGGACCCGTGTGTTTTCCGCAAGATGACAGACGAAGTCGTGGTGATGATTATCGTTATCTACGTGGATGACATCCTGGTGGATGGGTTTGACGAGGATTGCGAGGAGTTGCTTGCTTCTCTCAACAAGAGATTCCCCACCAAGAATCTTGGAGAATGCGAATGGTTTGACGGCTGCGCCATTGAGAGAGATGTAGAGGCTGGGGCCCTTAGNATCACTGGGATGTGAAGCAGGCGTACACACACGCCACGCTAAACGAGGAGATTTTTCTGGGGCTCCCCGCTGGGTGCGGGGACAAATCGCATAAGGTTGTTAAGGCTGAGCGTGCGATTTACGGTCTGAAGCAGAGCGGTAGGCAGTGGGGG